ATGATGTGAGCAGTTTAACGTTTTCCTACAAGATGTCGGAGACAATAAAATGAAAATTTTTATTAGAACAAAGCAAAGTTTAAATATGTTGTTTCGCTAGCATAATCCTGTATGTTAGCCACACCACGATGAAACAAATACCCTAAAGCGCTTTTCAAGCGAAGAATGGAACACTTTGAAAAATTGCACTTTTTGGGGCCACGGTTAACGCGGAACCAACTATGATCGTATATCCAATGGGTACGACTGTCATAAATAAAAGCAAAATGTAAAGAAAATTTGTTACTCTCGCTCTTGCAACATCTTGAGTGGCTTCACTCAAGATCTTGAAATTTCTTAACCCAAGGACTTGGGTACAAGAAGTTCCACTAGGGCAGGTCGAAGAATCCTGCTGTAAGATCTTGTAAGATTCTTGTACGATTCCGTCTGATTTCGTAAGATTCGTATAAGAATTTGTAAGGTTCGGTAAGAAACATCGATAAGAAACTGATTCTTGATATAAGATCTTATAGTAAGGTTTTATCAGATTTCGTAAGATCCTTGTATGAATTTTATACGATCTTGTAAGATGAATCCATTGCGCTGAGTTTCTGTAAGATTTTATAAGATCGTGTAAGATCTTGGTCAGACTTTTTGGCCTGGATGGGAAAAGTATGGAATACAGAATAGATGCCGTTGTTTAGGAGGGATAATGAAAAATTGTAAGATTTCTCTCTAGAGTTTTTCAGAAGTTTTGGAAGTTTAAATAGGTTTCTGAAGTGACACATTGGATTTCAAGCAACTTGCAAAGAGGAAGAAAAAATTCATCTGAAGATGGAAATACACTGATTTTTGAGAAAGTACACCATTTAACTGTGACAGGCAGAAGAAGAATACTTCGTCTTGTGGTTACTGTTACCGGTAAGGAGTGCTAATAGTGTCTGCTGCAATAGTCCAAATGAGCTTTTAGGGCTTTTACGAAAAATTCCATAAGTTTTGAGTTCTGGTGAAAAACTTTTGGGAATCTTCCTAAGTGTGTCGCTGCTACCTACTGCGCAAGTATGAACATGAAAGTCAGACATCGATTGATCAGCTTATGCGAGAAACAGCTGTCTCTACCATGCAATGGTTCTTAAGAGAAAAGTTTACCAGATACATTGGGGCAGATTGAACATAATTTGTTCTGTTTTTTAATACCAATAGTCTTGAAATTTTCCAATTATTATGCACGACAGGGACTCATCGACTGAAGGAGGATCAAATTTTGTAGAAGTTAGATGGACATTTAATTGACGCCACCAAAAAGTGCCGCTACCTTTCGCACATTTCATATATTAGTCTTGTACAGAGAAGAGTATGAGTAGGTAATTTTAAGCGAACGTACAAACAACATTAGATGGATCGATAGGCATCCGAAGAAAAATTCAGGAGTGACGCTTCATATTTACTGCACTTTTTTCACGTTGATTATAACGATTTACATATAGTAATTTCGTTCGAACCATTTATTGCGTTAGGACAATTCTGTCAATCATTGACAGCTTGTCTGTACTCCGCTAAAATGACTTAAAAAAATTAGGTAAAAGCTTACTCGTGTAAGATGATAAAGAAAGTGAACATGCCAGCCTCCTTGTTGAACGCTAATAGCTCAGATTAATAAAGTGAAATTGCCAGATCTTCAGGGGGTCGTATTACGAAAAAGCTTAAATCATGGTAAATGTAGTCTTAAAGTTAAGACGGAAAAACTTTAGTCATTGACGCATTTCTCGAACAGCTCAGACATTTAATGATACGATTCGACCAGAACGACTTTTTGCGGTTTAGAGAATAAATATTTCGTTATTTTGCGGGTTTTTGTCCCAAGGTTGTCACTGTTGCCAACGACTTTTAAAAAGTAAACAAATCACGAACTTAAGTATTATCGTAATACGGTTTAAGTCCCCCAGACTTGAGTCGGTCTTAAACTTCGACTTAAATCACGACTTAAACCGAATTACGAAAACACTTAAGTTCGTGATTTGTTTACTTTTTAAAAGTCGTTGACAACAGTGACAAACTTGGGACAAAAACCCTCAAAATAACGAAATATTTATTCTCTAAACCGCAAAAAGTCGTTCTGGTCGAATCGTATCATTAAATGTCTGAGCTGTTCGAAAAATGCGTCAATAACTTAAGTTCTAGTTAAGTTTTCTGTCTTAACTTTATGACTACATTTGTCATGACTTAACTTTTTTTGTAACACGTAAAACTTAAGTCTAAAGACTTAAGTTAGTGACGGCGACTTAACTTCTGACTTAAATCTAAACCTTGAGTTAAGTTTTTTCGTAATAAAGCCGATCTAGGACAAAGATAAGCTAAGTAATAGAAGAAGTGCAAAGCGTTTCATTCTACAACAAGGTCACATATAAATATATCCTGGCCTGTTCTGGTTATTCTGTCTATTTCATACATATTATTTGTTTGTCATCTAAACCTGTTAGGATTCAATAAACGGAGTGTTAACAAATTTCTGTTTATTTCAGTTGAAAAGTAGACATGAGTTGAAAGCAAATAATAGATCGATTTCTGTGAATCTGCAGAATATGGGCTATCTATTTGTTAAACCATATTCTCCAAGGTTGAGTTAGCTTAATTTATTTTTTAGATTAGTATATTGTTACTGAATTTCATTTGTGTCTCTTAGTAGTGCCTAGCCAATGGTAGGTGTTTAATATTGTATAGAATATATGTTGTGTTATAATATTGTTTTTATTTTTCATTTAGTCAGCGTTATTCAATTTTCAAAGTTTATTAGTGGTTATTTTATTGATGATTTGTACGTGTACATATGTTCATGACTTTTACCCAAAGTTATTGAATAGATATAAAACAGGGTAAGATAAATACATATGTCTAATGAGATCTATTATTACCAATTTTTTAAATTCTTTGTTCAGATTTCTTGGCACATTCTGGAAAGTAAGTTGAGTACATTCTCATATTTTTCTACTACTAATTGTTCCTTTTTTTCTCTGTTTAGTTCGCAAGAATAGGTGAACAAAGGTTTCTTTTTTATTGACTGTGTGTGAAAGTTTATACGTATTTATTTTTTAGGTCAACGCAAAAGTCAATATGTCTCTATTTGTTGTTTAGCGATGGCTGTTGCTGTGTTATTCTGGGCGTAGTTGTTTTTCTGCATTATTTTTATTATAATTGTTGTTGCTCTTTTTGTTTTAAAGTTTTTTCACGATATTTTGCGCTACTCTTTTTGCAGTGTGTTTTACTGTTGTCGTTAGTCGGTTAAATACTCGTGTCGCCAGTGCATATAATAAAGAGAATAACCGGATGAGTGAATCACTAACATACTTTTTCATTATCTACTATTTACTGTGTTCAAATCATTCGCTTCAAAGTTTCTAGTCTTCACTATATTGTTTTGTCACTAATCTGATCAGCATCTCTTGTTTAAAGATCTTTTAATTTTGTAGATGAGAGCCAAATGGAGAAAAAAACGTATGCGACGATTGAAACGTAAGCGACGACGAATGCGTGAACGATCGAAATAGAACAACAACTGTAAACAAGAAAAAGAACAAGTATTAAAATTGTTGATGGTATTAGTTATAACAGCAGAATGGAATGAAAATTTGTCTCGATTACATTCATATGAACTGTCTATAATCGATCATTGTTTTGTGGAAAATTTAGTGTTTCTTTTTCTGTTTATTCTGACGATATAAATAAAAGTTCATCTCAATCATATAACGGCAAGAATTTCATTTGAAAAATGACAGAGTCTAAAACAAGTGTCAAACAGAACTAAAAGCATCACAGAAAACTCAATACATAATTTTTTTGCTAGTAAAGTTTTTAGCGATTAATAATTTCGTATAGGATCATGTTGTCATTGTGTTTTGCAATTTATTATTTAGCCCATTTCTCTCGCTCTCGATGTTTGTTTGTATGTAAAAGGTCTTCTCTTTCAGATGAATCGAAATAACAATTCTTTGAATATTGTTCATTATTTGAGAAACGAGTCATATAATAACGCAAATAATAATTCAAAGTTTAAGAGGCAAAATTATTTTCAGTATCGATTTGACTGCTGCAAAAATTTATATTCGAAAGATTTCAAGGGACATTTTGGTAAGTAGAATGAAACTTCGTTAGTCAGTACAAGAACTAAATTTGTGGCTTTTCTTTTTCTTTTATTTAGGTTGTGTAAATGCATTGGATTTTTCAAATAACGGTGGTTTACTCTTAGCATCTGGTATAATTTTGTCATAAACCGTGTATTTTGTGAAAAAAACTTTTGATTGCCCGCCTAATTTTGAGAAATAGTCTGTTTGTTGTTTAATTAGAACTATAGACTTAATTGCATGTAACTAATCACACATTTCTATAATTACATGACTGTTTACTTGTCTGGAAAACCTCATGAATTTGGTATACGTCTTTTGAGTTACGTAAATCATCGGAGCTTTACTAATTATTGTTTGTGCAATAATTAGATTCTGAATGTCAGTAACGAAAGAAGACATCATAATTGTCTCACACACACGTATATCTTTACGAATATTTTTAGGTGGCGATGATAAACGAGTATTGATTTGGAAAATGGAAGAAACACTATTCAATACAGAAAGTTGTCCAACGCAGTTAGGTGCCACACATTTAAGTAATATATTTGCTGTAAAATGGGATAATGAAAATCGTCGAATAATCTCAGCCGGTAAGATACTTTTTTATTTTACTCAGTTTAATCGCGCATAACAAGATAAATTATTTTACTTCAGGAAACGATGAACAAATTCTCGTGCACGATGTTGGCAAACAGTAAGTGTCTGTGTCTGTGATCTGTCATTTCTTCACTTATATGTTAACTTTTTAGAGATCGTAACGAACCAGTTGATTCTTTTATTCAAACATCTCCAATTTATGCAATATCTGTTGATCCATTACATAATGAAATATTTGCATCCGCAAGTGATTTAGGATCAATTCATATCTACGATTTGAGAACGGGACATTCAACTGTTCCATTTGTTTTGGCTAAAACGGTGACGCCATTTCACAGTGTCGTCTATAATACACAAAAATCATTTTATATAGCAACAGCGAATTCTCACGAAGGAATTGCACTATACGACATTCGAAATAATAGTGGGTAAGGCAGATATTTGATAAAATCACGATAACAGTTGGGTATCTAATTAATATTTACCTTTAGTCATTTAGGATTAAAACATAGTATTCCTCATGTTCTTTTTTGTTGTTTTAGACCTGTCTTACGCTATGGTATATCCAGGGATGAAAATGTGTTTTCTTCCAATTCAGTTAGTACACTAGAACGTGTTGATGGTATGAGTGTTTGTTTTAATTACAATGGTACGCTACTGTATGCATTACGTCGACGCTTACCGCCTGTTTTGTATAAATTAAACGAGCCTATCGCCTATTGTCAATTTGATGCTGATAATTATTTCAATTCCTGTACAATGAAAACAGGATGTTTTGCAGGAGATAGAGACCAATACGTTGTATCGGGTTCAGACGATTTTAATGTTTATGTCTGGAAAATACCAACAGAGAATCTTAAAAATGAAAGTAAGTTGTTCACGAATAGTATAATCTAAGTGATATTTCTATTATGTTGCTTCTAGATACGCCTCCAAAGAATAATCGACCATTGACGTCTTTTTCATCTGGTACGTGTTAAGTTTCACGAACTATCTGATAACGTAGTTTCACTGGTTTTTCAGTAGATGACTAATGCTAATTTTTGTAGTTATGTGTCACTGTTTCAAATATATTTAGAACATTATGTCTGGGATGCCCATTTAATACTACGTGGCCATCGATCTGTTGTTAATCAAGTCCGCTTTACATCTCATACACAAATATTAGTATCGAGTGGTGTCGAAAAAATTATTAAAGTATGTAAAATTAATTTCGGGTATCTGCAAGCCACTTTTTATTTCTTTTTATTTCAGTCATGGACACCATTCAGCTTTCCCGGCTGTTCAGGCAATTTGGACAACAATATAAATAGCGCAACACTCGAAGGTCGTGAAATTTATTCTCATGACGATTACATTCAGTCTGTGTTTGAAACGGGCGTTCTGTATCCTGATTACAGTCAAGAAAGTATCGAAGAAGATAAACGTATGATTGCATTTTTTGACTCACTAGTTCAACGAGAATTAGATGGCAATTGGACACCTTCATCAGATGATGATGATGATAGTAGTAGCAACAACGATGGAGAAAACAGTATTTCGACAGATGATGAGGATAAAGCAAGTATCGTGACAGGTCATCGAATCAAAATTACCGAACTAGAAGAGAATGATGCAGATACTGAAGATGATGATATTTTATTAATGGATTGTATCAATAATTTATCCTCGGATACAGATGATGATGATGATGTAGAAATACCGACAAAATCAGCTGTAGAACACATAGATCGGCCGATACGGCCTACACTGTCATCAAGTTCGTCTCGATCGACTTCTTGCAATAATCATGATTGCGACGAAACAAAATTATTGGACTATAGATCAAGTGTAGAACAAAAACAAACAACTAAAAATCATACTACAACGGATCATAATGACAAATGTAGTGAAAAACAGCAATCTGTAACAGAATCAAACTGCACGTAAGTCATCAAAAGCACTGATTTATTCATTGTATGAGCATCCAGATTTTTATATGACTATCCGTTCTTCGTCTATTTAAAAGATTTTTCAAATTCAAGACATCTCAAAAGATGTAGCTAATTGTTCATCGTATGAAAAATACGTTTTGTTATTCATTTAGAAATAACGATGTTGACAATCAAATCTCAATCATCGCTCAAGATTCATCTTTACCCATATCTTCGTCTCGTTCATCTTCATCATCCACGTCATCCTGTTCTTCGCCAACGAATATGTTATCTAGACGGAAACGAACATCTCTGTCAGACAGAGAAACAAGTGCAACGACAATATCAAACAGTCATTATTCTATATTTAACCTTCGCACTCGCCGACCAAATCGAAATATATCGGCAATTGTTCGTCAACAACGTCTGAAGTATGTTCAAATGTTAAAACAAAGTGCAGGCATTCCGTTCATCATCGAACTAAATGATAGTAATAACAATACGTCGAACACGACAACAACTTTATCAAAACTTGTCGAAGAAAGCATTAACAGTGAAATATCATCGTCAAATACTAAAAATCATCATGAACATTCTATATTAAATTCACCAGATCGAAAACGACGACGTTTTTTATCGCCAGATCAACAAACAACAACAACAACAACAACAACAACAAGTTCTGTGCCTGTTGATGAAAATAATCGACGTCAAAATCTAAACACATTGAGAATGTTACGAAATTTTATTCGTTTAGATAATGCCAGAGACGAGAACTTGATTATAGCCGGTGAAAATAATAATAATACATCAGATACTACCATGTAAAGATACGAATAACACATCTGTTTTGTAAATATTTTATAGTATTTTCGAACTACTGTTCTCATAGTCAATTGTTTGTAAATGCATTTTTTTTCTGTGCCATTGTTACGTTCTTTTACCTCTAATTTCTATGGTATTCTAGTTTCAATGATAATAGTATTTTTGATATTTAAAAAAGAGATGATGTTATTTTTGTTCTACCTTGAACCAATACTTTTTAACTGGTCAGTTTTCAAAATAGTGATATGCGTATATGCTCTAACAAGACAGCACTCGATCAGTTTTTTGTTGGTCATGGTAACTAGATTGAAATGATATTTGTTATATAGAAAAAGTATTAAGTCTAATCAAAACTCTATATCGTTAGGCTCCTTAAGATAATTCTTATCTTTTTACACATATCATTCAATTTTATGTTTCAGTCATCTGTATTTTTCACTACTCATCATGTTCTATTTTTATTCTGGTATTTTACGAATATATTTTCAGCTTTGTTTTCTTGTTTTGTTTTTTATTCCATTCTATTCTATTTAGGTCTTTCAGAAGTATTTAAAACAAGCGTATTTTTTTAGTTTCTGAAAATTTGTTTGTTTACCTGTTTGCTTCATATGTTATCTATTAATTCTGATGTAAGAAAGATCAAATGCAATATACATAGGGAAAGGTGACTTTTTTGTTTCGAAATATTCGATCTAAATGAGATGCTAAATAGAGAGGTGATCATCTTTTGCTGATTGAACGAGGATTGATCTGGTAAGTTTAATTAGTCGACGAAAGAAGAAAGACTATACGTTGTTAACGCGGGTACCCATGATCTGAAATTCTTTTTAGTATTACCCATGGAATGTAGACAAAAGCCTTCTTTTTCTACCTAAATTTTGTCGGGTAATGACACTTGTTACTGCCAACAAAACAATGTCAGAGGTTATTAACACTGAATAACAATTAACTGAAGAGTTCTTATGACGTTTTCGCAGCTTTTCGAATGATATTTGATATTTACTGGTTTTCATTTATTTTTAAGAAAGGCTCGTTTCAATAGCAATTAAATCATGAGTATTGATAAGAGGAATAATGAAGATGACATTGAAGACAGACAAAATATGGTTGAAAAACATCATTGTAATTCCAGTCATAACTCGAATGCTATTGATTCTTATGATGTCGACGATGCTGATGAACAAAAACATTTTCAAAAAGTTGTTAATGCGTTTCTTTATTACAGGTAATTCATCTGTTGTTGATAATAGTAATAATGTTTGAGTAAAGGTATCAAGTACATTGTATGGGAAAATGATTGCTATTTGTATCATTTTAAGATCTTATGCTCGAAATCGTATTCGTCGTTCATTTCATTATTACGGTCAATTATCTGATGCTCATAAACAATTACTACCAAAATTTGAGTCTCACTTAGCGTTAATATTAAAACGAATTGATAAAAATTACAATGTACTAAAAAATATTTTACAAGGATGTGATCATTTATTTGAAAATCAAAATCGTTCATTTGACCTGCCATCATCTACTGCCGTAAGTTGTTTTGTTGTTTTGTTTAAATATTTTTATTTGTGTTATGATGAGATATATTCATCACGTTTCTTAGTGCTCACTTTCTTCCAGTCAAATGATGAATTAAATATGTCCGACCAAGATGAAGTAAATCCACCGGCAGGTGTTTTATCGATGGACATGGATAAAATTAAAACGACATTAAAACAATTTGTCAGAGACTGGACTGAAGAAGGTAAAGAAGAACGAAATAGTTGTTATCAACCAATTATTGATGAAATAGTAGCACGTTTACCATTACAAAAAGAGCCAAATGAATTTTGGTAAGTTATAGAAAAACTATATTTTATACTTGATAAGAATGTTACAAAGATAATTGATTTGTATGATAAATGTCATCCTAGAAACAGATTGATGGTTCAGCTACAACTTCAGCATGTTTTTTCTTTCAACTAGTAACGATGTTTCATATATTCAAATTCTTGTGCCTGGTGCTGGTTTGGGCCGATTATCTTGGGAATTAGCTCGTCTAGGTTATGCGTGTCAAGGAAATGAAGTTAGTATGTACATGTTAATTGCATCTCACTATGTTCTGAACAGGTATGATAAAGTCAAGCAACTATTTTTATTTTATGTTGTAAATTTAGTGTCTTTCTTTTCAAAGATGTCAACAAGTGAATGCAACAACTATTTATCCATGGGTACTTCAATTTTGTAATAATTATTCTAACGAAGATCAGTTAAGAGCTGCACGTTTTCCTGATGTTGATACTTCAAGTTTACCACAAAATGCTCGATTTTCAATGTCAGCAGGTGACTTCTTGCATGTTTATAATGAACCAGGTAGGTCTTATGGTGCTATACATCAGTACAGGGTTGTGCATAACCTTTGCTAGGCAGGCTCACCTCCAACGACAAATGATATAAAAATGAATTATATACCAAACGAAAGCTCATCGAAAACGGGATTAACGGGTATAACTGATGATCCATAGGTTGATTATGAGCTATAGAATTATGGAAGTTTCTATCGGGAGTGGCATATGAATGAGCCTCTTAGTATTTTCTATTTTTCGCGTGTTCCTTTAGGATCCTAAGATTAGTGTTTTCTTTAAAAGATGCGCCACGAAGACTCTACAAAACCATACCTACACTTTAGTTTTGGAACTTCAATAAAGCTAACTACATAAATTATACGAAAGGTTCTAGTGAAGTTATGGAACTTTTACTGAAAGCAGCACTATACCCAGAATTGACGCACCCGATAGAAACTTCCATAATTCTATAGCTCATAATCAACCTATAGATCATCAGTTATACCCGTTAATCCCGTTTTCGATGAGCTTTCGTTTGGTATATAATTCATTTTTATATCATTTGTCGTTGGAGATGAGCCTGCCTAGCAAAGGTTATGCACAACTCTGTAGTTGATACCGCTCAAACAAGTCATATTAAAACACTAGTTGTGTTTCATTTAGATGATTGGCATTGTGTAGCGACATGTTTTTTTATTGATACAGCTCACAATATTGTTGAGTATGTTGAACGACTGTGGAAAATAATAAAACCGGGCGGATATTGGATTAATTTTGGTATTTGACATGCAAAACTGACAAACAACTTTATTCCATAATTTATGTTCTCTTATTTTAGGCCCATTACTGTATCATTTTGAGGACATGGTGGGAGAAATGAGTATTGAAATTAGTTATGTTGATCTTCGATCTGTTATATTAAAATATGGTTTTCAAATTTTGGTATGTACAAGATCTTGACGTTTCTGTTTTACTAAATAGTAATTTGTTCTTGTTTCAAGACCGAAAATTATCCAATTCGAACTGGTTACATAAAAAATGCACGATCAATGTTGCATTATGAATATGATTGTGTATTTTTTGTGGCATATAAACCTACCAATTGAACAATTGATTTCGTCTTTTTCTGTGAATCTTTTTTCAAATTCATATTTCAACAATACTTGATGAAATAATTCATTTTCTTCTATATTTAAGTATCCGGCTTCGTTAACAAAAAGAAAATAGGAACAAACGTTTTTTTTTTTTTTCTAATTGTTTGCTGGCAGAGTGTTTTAACAAAAATTTCTTCGATATTTGTCTTTTTTAAAAACTTTCAGTCTATATAAGAGCGAGAAATTTTCGTATAAAAAACTTTCTTTAGCTTTAAGAGGGTTAACCTATTCATGTTATACCGCTAAATGGTTAACTAGTGCGTTTCTGGAAACAATGTTTTCATTGAGAGATAATAGTTGTTCACGATAGTGGAAATAGAAGTCTCTCACAATTCAACTTGTTTAAAATTCTCTGAGAGTACCCAAACTTGAAAGATTCAAAAGCAGTTGATGAGTTGTACTCTCTGCTTCATTTTTCTACAACAATAGTCAAAAGCTTAACAGCTCTAAAATAGGATGAAACGACTATAACACGTACATGGATAAGAAAAGTCGCGAGAGTTTTCCAGAAATCTTTTGGAAGTCCTAAAAAGAAGAAAAAGTATCTAGACAAATTTCTAGAAACTTAATTGAAGAAATTGATACTAGTACCACCTTGATATGTTTCTGACAGAAAAAATTCATTTGTAAAGGGTAAAGAATTTTCGACTCAGACACCCACGTCAATCAATATCTGCTGAAATGTCTTGGATATAAAATACTAAAAGCTCGAACTCTCTATGCATTTTTTGTTCAAAAGTTATTCAAAAAAATAACCGTAGCCACTATCTCTTGAAATAGATGGTAGAAACTCAATATGCCTAAACTGGTTGAAATAATTCATTGGCAACATTTCGAAAAGACAAATACATGGTTTTGTAGCGCTTGAAGATCTCTGTCGAAGGATATATTTCTTCACTATCTCCAATGAACCGCTAATTTTCGAATAAGTACAAGACATCAGAGTCCCAATAATTAATATTGATTAGCATCAAATGATTATAAACTAATACCTAAAAAAACCTTTTTTCTTAATTTTTAAATAAAACTATAACCAGGGTCCACCAGGCGACGAAACAATGACATTTCTACGATTGCTTTAAAACGCGTTGCATTCTTTCAAAATGAAAACCAGCAATTCAAATTTAAATTAGAATTTGAACTTAATTAATTGATAGCTCTGTCAATATTTGACTGAATTATTTTTGTATGTGATTTTTTTGTGAACACTGCAAATGTTCTCGGTAGGGTAGCAAATTTTAGGGTATGTTTAGAGGAAGAACATCTCTCTTAAATTTTATCAGTTTCTGGCCTTTTTGCTATCCGACTGTCAACTTGAATTAGTACCGAAAAGACTACCCATCAGATACTGCATTTCAACAGATACTTATAATAGTAAGTCGGATACTCGGGATACCTCAAATGGCGAGAAACTAGAGTGTGATGAACATACCAGCTCAACCATACCAATGTTAATGGCATTAAAGTCTAAAGAAACTAAACTTTTATAAGTATTTCTAAATGTATCGAGAATTTAGAAGTATTTATAAAGTATCGAAAAGGTCGATATGATAATAACTTAAGATCCGAGTGAACCCCGTGTGCAACCAATTTTGGGACACAAAACTGAATGTCGACAATTTCTACAAATATCCGTGTATAAAGTTAGGAACAACGATCTGTGGATTGGAGCATACCGTTTTGATGAAATAGACACTACCGGTAAGTCGAAAATACCAGATTTTAATATGTGTATTTTGCGGTAATTCGTCAACGACCTTCGTTCGTTTCCCATAAACTGTCTACCTGGAGTCATCTTTCTATTCTAGAGGACTTAGCGACACTGGGATACCTCTATGAAAGCATATTGCGCACAAACGTATCCTCGTATGGATCAGTGGTAGTTGAACTTATGTTTTACTAGCGAGCTAATCGGTTTGCGGACCCATGGATGATGAGACTCGTATATCTATACAGTAAAATATTAATTTAGCGGAAGCGACTATCTTTCTAATCCACGTAATTGAAGTTTAATAAATCTTTGGTCAAATATTACATTCTCTACTTCATCAGCGGTGAACAGCATCATGCGGAAGATGGATCAGAATGTCAATAAGAAACAATAGTAATAGCAGAACCAAAGGTTTTTATATTGTCACAGTTTTTGCTACAATTTAATACACACGTTCAGTTATTCTCACTCGTAATTTTCGTCACCATAGATCAATTTCTCGAAAGCGGCTTTCTTGCAGGCCTAAAAGTAACCACATTGACCAATTTTGAATTTTTTATTCAAAAACAAATATTGAATAATGAAACAAAGGTATTTATATTTGTAACAGTATAAACATAACAATTATTTCAGCTACAGTTTAATGCACACATTTGGTTACTCTCACTCGTAATTTTCGTCATCATTGACCAATGTCTCCAAGGTGGATTTCTTGCAGCCCTAAAAGTAACCATAGTCTTCCCTCAGCTAACGTCAATAGTTATTATTTTAAAAGTTTTAAAACAATAGAAATATCTACCAAAATGAAAAGAATCTGCTTGTTGGAAACCCTAAGAAAATAAAAAAGTTAACCTACCAGGTGTCAGAATATTCATTATTGCTATCATAACTGACAAGAAGTGTAAAATCAAGTGAAACTATATACAGTCTTCCTGTAGTCTCATCGTTTTTTGGAATATTTTCAGTTGAAAGTTTCTTTAGTTTTATCGACGTAAGATATGAATGAAAAAGTATACCTGGCTATTTAGGCATGAGAGCAGAAGTTTTACATTTACATAAAATAAGTTTGCGGATGATGCGTGTATGTATGTACTTACAAGGAAGGTCGTCTAGGCTTTTTGGCTGTACAATCACTGTTAATTAACTCTTGTGTTCTTGAACCACCGATTGGTGAGTCTTCTAAAAAAATTTATCCTCTGTCACTGATACGTTTATTCTAACAAAGGTAACCTGTCAAAATAAGTGGATCTGAACAAGTGACACGAAGTTATCTGCTACAGCTAGCCAAAGACGATCTCTGTTCTAATCGCTAATCGAAAGTACCGGTAACTCTTACAGCGTGCTTGATAAACTAACCCACAGGATCTTTTTTTCTCTATTTATAGCATTATATAACGCTATAAAACATGCTTTTTTTAGAATTATGGTATTACAATGCAATAGACTTAGCCCGTTGCGTTATAACGCGTTGCAAAGTTGTTTTTCAGGAATTATAGCGTTGTAAAAAAAATCTAAGTTGATTTTTCGGCCTTTTAAAAACATGCTGTGGAATTTTCGGGTAGTGTAATCGATGAAGCTTACAATGCTGAACAAAACTAGCAGTTTGTCAAACTTTCAGACGAGAGTATGACTAGTTTTCAAAAGGTTTTCGAGAAACACCCATTTTCCTTTTTCAACGACTTTTTTTTTATAATAATTTCTCATATTCGTCATGCTATTCAATGTATAATATGAGCTTTGATTTGGATTTCAACGGGTTTTCTAGAAGATTTTTAGCCAATTTTGATACTGTAATATAACTCTTTTTGTTCTTTACCAACCGACAATACTTTGTTGATGAAACGGTGTTCTAAGAAGGAATACTGTAAGTTACACCGCTTCGAAACAACATGCCGAAGAATAAAAAAATTTAGTGTCGGCCTCAGGTGAAAACTTTACTTGATGACAATCGTAGCACACAGTTAAAAATGTTAGAAAAAAAAAGATCTTGAAACAGTTAAAAACTAATTGGACATATTAGTGGTTCACTTTTAGAAGTATGAGTTTCAGTAATGGATCGAGCGCAACAAATATCTAAAACTGTTTTTGAACTGTAAGTAATTCGTATAATACCGTCATACAAATCGAGCTTCATGTCGATATATACTAAACCAAGACAGAGTCGCGATACGTCTTAAATTGAAGAGAAAAGTCTTGTAAACATTTTAAGACGTATCTGCACTCTAGAAAAGATCTCTTTCTGCACATCTTAATAAAGTATAGAGTACTACTTTTCAAAAATTCAAATTCTTCAGAATCGAGAAGTAGTACTCTATACTTTATTAAGATGTGCAGAAAGAGACATTTTCTAGAGTGCAGATACGTCTTAAAATGTTCACAAGACTTTTCTCTTCAATTTAAGACGTACCGCGACTCTGTGTGACTTGGTTTAGTATATATCGACACAACAAAATGAAGAAAAAACGTTACGGATTTCCCTAGCAGTAGCAGAATTAGCTGACCATGGCATTTAGTATGCTAAAACCCATGATTTCTTGGAAAACATACTTCTGATCATCCTGAAATTTTTCCGAGTTAGCCATTAGAAAGGGTGTATCAAACCATAAACAGTTAATGCATTGTAATGCAATAAATTTATGTCGTTGAAACGTATGAAGAACTTCTATAGCGTTACAATGAGTTAGAACATGCGTAACGCGTTGCATCGAAACACACGTCAAAATATCAACGACTCGGGTCCCATAAAAACACATACTCTAATACGTGCTGGCCATAGTGTAGAATATCAATCGTCAGCTACTGATCGTACTGGAAATAAAGACGGTAAATAGATGGGATTTTTGTTGCTCTACTCTCTAAAAAAAATCCGTAGCTTACAAAACGAATAGCGGTTTTGGCATTTGCTCCTAATAGAAACCGATATCCGTATCGTACGGTCCTGCATAACCGTTTCGCAGAAT